TTAGCTTAGGGGTTTTAGGAGTCAGTACAGGCTGTTCCACCACAGTCTGTACATATACTTTACAGCTCACTCGCACCTACACACGCTTCACAATGTATGCGCCTCGATGCCATGCACACAGAGACGTTCCCATTCTGTGCATTGTTTCTGATACTGCCCTCAGTCTGGGCGAACAGGACACGGTGTCCTCATCCAGCAGGGCAGGTGCAGAGCTGCCTTAGAACACAGATTAAACATCAGCGTGGGACACAAAGGGCGCAGCAGTGTGGGGTGTTGTAATGTCTGTATTCTGTAATGTTCTTTAATGCAGTTGCAACAGTTCCCTATTGTGTAACAGAATATATTGTTTGCCTTCCGGACATATTGCAACATATAGACTTTAAACAGTGCAAGATTTATTAATCATTATACTGTATTTTTTTTTTTTTTCAACCAGAAAAATATTGAATAGCTCTAAATTGTACCTAATTATACCTCCTGGAGTTTAAAGCCATGAGATAATATATCTGTCGCCACTTAGGTCATGGCTCTAGCAGTTTCTCGTAAAGAAATCATTAATACATTCTTGAAGTGTCTCTGGCAGAAACATGACAAAAATATTCTAAAGGTAGTTCCAAAAGTAAAATCAGAATCTAGTTATCATGGAGAATAAAAGTAAACGTCGAGAATGAAATCAAAACGTTTGGAATAAAGTGTAAATGTCGAAAAAAAGGTGAAACATCCATAATAACTTCGAGAACTAAGAACCGTTGCAAATAAAGAATAAATGCATCTCCTGGGATTTTATTTAGTCATTTTTATTTTAAGTCAACATTCTTAATAATAAAAAAGTCTTTCTCCTCTCATCCCCCCTTTACCTGACTCTAACACTCCTCCTCCGTAGTAGTACCTGTGTGAATTGTCTCTCGTCACATTGATTTAAAACCCCCGAGCTTCCAGACTCATTCATACCTCCTCTCTTTATCCAAAACAAGATCTTATTTCTCTCCTTTAATCAACATTGACACAAACGCTGTATCCGTAACTTAAGAAATGTGGGAATTTAAGCCGAGTACAACTCTCAGCGCCTCAGACTGCTAAATGTACACAAAGAAGCACACACACGCTCGCACGCAATCCATAGAGAGCAAACAAAGGCAGAGGAGGGGTCCGTGTTTCAGTTGCGGTCACGATACAGCAGAGAGAGGGCACAATGTGTGAAATCTTTAAACCAATGGCTGTTCAGGTTTCTGCCAGCTCCCAAATGTCTGTTTTATAGCTGTCATTTGTCATTTTTACACTCCTAGGCTCCTAGTCACTGACAACAAAGACACGTCGGAAAGAAAGGAAGAGAGATGTGACATTAAAAGCTTGTAATGTGAAATGTGTTTGAAGGATTATACCCCCAGGGAGTAGGTGCAATGTGCTGGTATGAAAAACCTCAGCCTCGGGACAAAGCAAAAAAGAGCGTTCATATTTACTGCCATGGACTTTCTCCTATAGGTTGGGCTCCTTATTCGAAGCAAATGGTTTCTGAGGCCAGCAGCCTTTTAAAAAAACAAACAGCAGCAGGAAATAGGCAAATACTGGCATCTAAACACCCACACACACACACACACACACACACACACACACACACACACACACACACACACACACACACACACACACACACACACACACACACACACACACACACACACACACACTTAAAACAAGCAGGAGGTGTAAAAGGCCGCTGGGTTCGTCTGCATGAACTCAGACGAACCCATTGGAGAAGTACATCAAGAGTGGCTGCTTCTATTGCCTTTATTTCTGCAGCCTGTAGCGAATGGGATGTTGTAAATGTCCTATATTTATACTACGGCTCAAGTGCTTGAAAGGGGGGTTAGTGGGAAATGAAGTCAGGCCTTTTATATCGAAAGGGGAAATCATCATATATAATATATATGATCAGCTAATGTAGGTCATCTAAGTTTGGGCCACGGATACGTAAAGAACCGTCTACAGCTTTAGTCGCAGCTCTGTAAAGCTTCTCCTTTGGCAAAGCCGTGATTTGAGGTAAATGCTAAATATTTTCCTAATTATCAAGCTAGTTCTGCGGATCTGTTGAGCGCTGGGCACGTGTAATAGCAAAACGTGTTAACTTGAGAAATAGGAAAGAGGTCTAGGTAAGGTTACTAAAATGTTACGTTTCGACCAATTAACCGGCAGAGCTAGCATCAACAGCACATCGTTACCTTGGGTTAGCTTCTCTACGCTACGTTGGAGGTCGGTTGCAAAGTTGCATGAAACACAATTCCATTCAACTTGACAGTTATACTGCACAATCAAAACAATGGTGTATAGAACGAGGTCAGCGTGTTCTCAGTCGTATAGGAACATGTTAGGAACAGAGCAGGGCGGGTAAACCGAGGGGAAGCTGCTGATGTTTTTCAATTGCGATGTTCAACGCTCTGTGAGAAAAAAAGAGCTGGCTGCAGTCAGAGCGATAAAACTGCAGCTGTGGTTTCTTTGTGCCTGTGAGAAGGAGAATATAGAGAACAGTATGTACGGGACAGTGCGGAGCTTTCCATCTCTGTATATGCGAGGGAAAAAAAGACATTAGGGAAGGGAGGAGAGGGGGGGGGGCGTTACTTGAGCTCTACTTCCTTCCCAGCGTTTCTTCCCTCTCAGTTTTCATTCATAATTGACTTTCTCTGTGTGGATAGAAACAAATGAACCCCCCCCCTCCTCCTTGCTTGCACGCACACTTGACGTTGTGCGTGAGCCGGGACTCCCTGCTGCCCCCACTGCCCTACTTTCTATCCGCGGAGGAACTAAACCGCCTCCTCATCACTTGTGTGGCAGTTTGAAAGCAGGCCGGAGCTCGTCTGGCATGTGAAGCACCCAGTGTCCTAGATTACACTGTTTATTTACCACGCTATTTAGAAGTAATGTGCTGCTATAAAACTTTAAGGCTTTGCATTTTTCCACCTGGGCTTAACATACAGACGCCAGGCTAATGTTAGTTCATGTCCTTAAATGTAGGACGTTTTGGAAAAGGCACGTGTGATCGGATTACAAACAGGAAAGATTAGGGGCAAAATAAACAAGTGTTCCTTCTGTATTCGGCAAAGTTGAACTGTAGGATGTAGGACAGGTGCAAAACATCTGAATAGTGCACACTCAGGAGTCTGCGACGTATTGAAACATTGGCAAATGTTACTTTGAATCACTATCCATGTACTCAAATACAACTCCGAGGTCCTTTCCTTTTAAATATATGATGCTTTCTGGTCTAAATTACATTGCATTGACATATTGTCCTTATTACTGCGCTAGCTCTATTTTCCCTAAGGTATTCAAAAACGTATGTTAAGCACATGTCAGAGTGCATTGTCAAGGGGCTGCTGGATTGGAGTATTGAATTTATTGTTTGGTCTATAAAGCCAGAAATTGGCGAAACGTGACGTCTTAAATGTCTTGTTTTGTCTGAGAATCAACTAAATCATAAACAGTCCAACCAGCTACTGTACATCATGAAAAGACTGCTGACATACTGATGTGTTAGTAATAATGAAAATCCAATGATGTTCGTAAGAGGAAGCAGATATACAGAATCCTGTTCATGCTGTTGTGTGTGGAGGTGGAATCCTGATTCATTTGAGTTTAAATAAATCACAATTCGCCTCAATAATTGTCTCTAAGTGTGGGCAAGTGTTCATGTATTTATTAGCAGTTTCACGCCGCCCACATGCATTGTATTATGTAAGCTGGTTTAAGGTCAAACTCTCACTGAATGTGTCCTAAAAAGTCCTGTTTGCTGCCATGGATACCAGCACGATGATGTGTTTGCGTTGCTCAGGTACTAAACAAGGTGGGGCTCTGTTACAGGAGTGTGTGTGTGTGTGCGTGTGTGTGTGTGTGTGTGTGTGTGTGTGTGTGTGTGTGTGTGTGTGTGTGTGTGTGTGTGTGTGTGTGTGTGTGGACTCAACAGAGAACACTTTTCTTCTGTTTTGATATAAAACAACAAGACATAAAGCTACACTGACTTTGATTTTCATGACAGCTGTCACTTTTGATTTGCAAACATTAGTCATTTCCTTTGTTTTCATATGATTTCCTATCTTTTTTTCCCCCACCATCCTTATACCTCTCTCCTGCTGTTTAATCCTCCATCTCTTTTGTTGGATTTCTGTTTGGCTGTTTCTGATGTTTATTTCTTTCCACCTGTCAGGAAGCCGGACATCTTGAAGGATTTGGCTCCAGGTGCCCAGCCTCCCTTCCTGTTGTACGGCAGCGAGGTCAAAACGGACACCAACAAGATTGAGGAGTTTCTGGAGGAAAACCTCTGCCCTCCAAAGTAATCACTTCATATATCTGTTTTACAAAATGTTATATTTTGCTCTTTTCAGACCAGTTTTTCAGCCTCTCCAAAATATACATTTCCCGTTGTTCTCTGTTTTATATCCTATCGAACTGAATTTATTTGGGTTTTAACAAGACATTAAAGACTTCACTTTGAGAAACTCTGATAAACATGTTATACACCAAAACAACTAATCGTTAAATCTAGAAAACATGTTTTAGTTGCAGCCTTATCTCAAAAATATTATCTTGGTCTTAAGGACATTTCCAAGGTTATTTTTCATTATGTTCATATATTTTTTGAACTAAATAATAAAAGCCAAATGTTATTGTTAGTTGCAGCATTCGTATAGCTGGCCTCTTACTTTGACTTCATTTGGTTTTGTGTCATTCTGTTGAAATCTTCTTGTCTCGATTAACATTAAATACACTCACATTACATTTGAGTGAATGTATGTTTGTGATGACTATATTAACCCTCATCAATCTCTCTGTTTAGGTATCCCCGTCTGGCTGCCCGTAACCCAGAGTCCAACACAGCAGGCATGGATGTTTTCTCCAAATTCTCAGCTTACGTCAAGAACTCAAACCCTCAGACCAACGAAAGTAAGTAACTGATACTTCAAAATAAGAGAATAACTTCACTTAACTTTAGTTTGAATTCAAATGTAATCTGGACCTTTTAAAAGACTCGGTTGTTATCCAAGGTATTTTCTGCTGAGCTTCTTCTGTCTTTCTCTGAAGGACAGAAAACCAGCAGGGAGTTAATACCATTACAGTCTGAGCGTTTCTGCCACAGTTGAAACAGGTTGCCAGCTGCTCTCTGTGTTGTGATCTCATTGGAAATGGCAGTGTTGTTCCATTCAAGCCTTTAACAAAAATAAATAAACCCATCTCTGTTAAAAAGACTTGGATTTGCAGATATCTGAATATGTTCTGTGTGTGCTCAGACTTGGAGAAAGGCCTGCTGAAGGCTCTGAAGAAGCTGGACGACTACCTCGGCTCCCCGCTTCCTGATGAAATTGACGAGAATAGCGTCGATGAGCTCACTTCCTCGTCCCGCCCCTTCCTGGACGGCCAGCAGCTTACTCTGTCTGACTGCAACTTGCTGCCTAAGCTCCACATCATGAAGGTAATCTCCTGCTCTAAGCTGTGCAGCGCGGGGGCCTGGGAAGACTAGATTATTATGTTGTTTTTGCGCTTAAACTGAAGACTTGGGTCCACCATGTTTTGTTGACTGTGTCTTTTATTCTCTCTCCAGGTGGTGTGTTTAAAATACCGAAGCTTCAACATCCCCCAGTCCCTGACAAACCTCTGGAGGTACCTGAACGCAGCGTACATCAGGGAGGAGTTTGCCTCCACCTGCCCAATCGACGACGAGATCCACATCGCCTACTCCTCTGTAGCTAAAGCTCTCAAGTAGGAGGGTAACCCTAACCAGGAGGCACAAGTCATACAACACATACATAGATTACATAGAATACACAAGCACAAAAACACACACTTACCCACTTGCACACACGCTCTGAAGCAACCTGGTCGATCTATTTCTCAAGAGGCTTTTATTGCGTCTGTTTGTTCACTTTTTTACAGCTTTAAAATATACTAAATAGTTACATGGGGACTTTTTTAAATCCTTGAACATTTGTGAATTTTAAGAAGAAAAAAAAAATCTAAAACACTTTTGAGAATAGACATAAATAGACAGGAGCTATTGACACCATATATTTTGCGTAGAAAAAACGTCCTTTGTTATTTATTTACTCAACATTAGTAAATAAGCCAATTTCTTTCTTCAATTGTTGGGTCCTTGAATGTTAGTGAACTGGGACAGTTGTATTGATTGGGAACCCTGTTGATATCACCTTTGTATAATGTTAGTCAATATAGCTGGTAAATTATTGTCAAACTATACTGTTAGTTTTACTTCAGAGGCGTTTGTTCCTGATGTCTTCCTGCTCTTTGTTTGCCACGTGTATCAGTTTACACCATGAGGTAAACAAGGAAGCGCTGGAGGCAGATAAGCTGAGGTTAAAACAAACACAAGCACAAAAAAAGCACTGTGGCAGAATGTATTTACATTTCCTTCACAGTAACTTTGTTTAGGATTTTAACGATTGATCATGCTGCTTGCAGGTCACACACACACACGCACGCACGCACGCACACACACACACACACACACACACACACACACACACACACACACACTTAAAACTACAGCCTGTCTTGTGTCCAGTTTCACCATCAGTAGATACACACTGTAAAGTTGTTTCTCGTTCCCTTACTGATGATGTTTTTTTTTACAGTATTTCTTTGTATATTTTTTAGCAGACACAAAGCTGCCTACCATATCAAATTGCCAGCCTCAAACAAAATGCTTCAACTCTTCTTTCCAGTCTTAGTATTAAGGAAGTGGTTTTCTTTTTTTAGGTCAAAATGTGTACCAGCGCCAATTTCTCTTTTGGGGTTTGCCTTTATTTTAGATTATTAAGAATGGATGTATTCATTCATTCCTGAGGGAACAAGGCCTTTTATACTTGACGATTACTACTGTATTTTTTAAATCTACAGTTTCTTATTCTTCACTTCAGAGAGGAAGTGGGGTGCTTTTCCTAAGCGGCATGCAGACCGGGTCTCGCTTTAGGGAGGCAGAGCTGAGAACAGTTACACAGGAAACTCTTTCTATAGACCCGGGCTTCCCCTTCCCCTTCCCC